AATAATAATAATAATAATAATAATAATAATAATAATAATAATAATAATAATAATAATTCAGCAGCTTTGTAACCCCTTCGGTCTCACTGTGTAAAATTGCTAGCTGTCCGGTGAATATCAGGGAATCAAAAGACATGCACGATGATACGGAAAAGAAGCAAAGAAAAAAAGAAGAAGATCATTGTAAACATATCTCCTTGGCCAAGCAAAACTTTAACAGTGTATGCAGGCTCGTACACACTTCTTTTGGGTGGGATGGGTTGGATGTCTGCCTCTCAATTAGATGATTCAAAGGTGACTTAAACCAAATCACTGGATCGGAGTGAAAGCATCCAGGTGGACTTCGTTATCAGGTGGAAAGCAGCCAAGCTGTTTCATTTGAGTGGAAGTTTTGGAGTTTGTATTTTCAAAGCGCCATGGAAGGGAGGGATAGATGCTCAAGGAAATTAATTGGCTGTCTCCAGCATGGGACCTCCAAGGGTATTTCATGATTGCTGGCCCAAAGTGACTTACCAAAGGTTGCCCAGGAGATAGATCTATATATAAGCAATTATTTTTTAGAAGTTACATGGGGTTGGAGGGTGGGTGGACTTCAAAGAGTTGTTGGTTGGAGAAAAAGAAAAAAATATATAATAAATTACAATTTTTGGAAGTTGATTTGCACTTTCTTTTAAATGTTTGTTACTTGTTTACATGCAGATTTTATAATAAAGTATTTCTGGTTACGATAGAAAGTTTTGTTTTTCTTTTTCTAAAAAAAGATATTTTTGGCATTTTAAACATTATTAACACTAATATCTACACACCAGATCATTGTGTTGGTAATAAATAACCTAGCTGGTCCCTAATAGAGGAAGTAGATACAAATATCTACAGATATAAAGGGGAATATGTATATATTCTTTGGCAAACTTCTTTGAAAGTAAGGAGCCCCATTATAATTATCAAATTAATCTCATTCGATTTCTAAAAATGTGAGAATTTCCATACCATTTTCCATCTTGGACTGCTCCAGAAGCTTAAAAGGAAAAGTTCTTCTACAGGAAAACTTGAAAGAATGGTGCTAGAGTGGCCCATTGATATGTATATACTGTATAATGCACTAATTTACTGAATGTAAATTGATTTTTATTTTAGCAACAGTCTGATTTTCCACAGCAGCAAAGCTAAGCATATATGTTGGGTTGCTTCATCTGTTGCTCAGTTGCTACCGGTAGTGGTGAATGGATTTTCCTTCTTTTTGCTTTTCAAGTTCACTATTGTTAAAAGGGAATCGGATTGGGCAGCTCTTCAAACAGAGGAAACTATCAAAGAGAGTATCATGTGCTGATAGACTTTTAAATGGGAGATAATTCTCTGGCAGGCCTTCAGAGAGAAACTGTCGACGATGAAATGAGATATGGCTTTCTAAAATGCTTTGTCCAGAAGCAATCCAGATTCAAATAAACAAGCTACAATGAAAGGTCTGGGACAAAATGCTGGATAATGATAGATAACAGCAAAAGGTTACAAGAACTGCCAGTAAAAACTTGTTTTCTGTATCTTTGCTACCTCTGATAGTCATCTGGAGGGTTTGCAGTGTAGAGCTGGTAGCTTTTGAGCCCCAAATTGAGAGAAACATGCTTAATTGATTTTCCTACTACCTAAAAGGAAATCCATGAGCTGAACCCCAGATAGGCACGTGGCCTCTGAGAGCCTCGGGTACAATTCTCAAAATTTGCCAGAAAATTTTAATGGGCAATACGATGGGATAAATGTATTAAATACATGGGAATAACTATGACAACTCTATCTTGTTAACATGAAATGCTACCCACAGTGCCACTCTTGGGTGGAGGGTGACCTTTTAAATTGAAGGCTGACATTTCAGCTCTCATCTATATATGAATAAGAGACAGAAAAATGCATCACGTTCCAGAAAAATCATTTCCCCCCCCACACACCAAGTGCTTATATTAGAATAGGTCTTTACAAAAATGTGAATATTTGAAAACCCATGTACAGAAGACGCACACTGTGTATACTCAAGCCAAAATCCACCAGAATGCATGCCTTTTATTGTAGATTTGGGGAAGGATGGGCACACGGAAACTAAATATATGACCAGGCTGGTTAAAACCAATCAAACTTGACATAATGCACTAGTTGTACTGTGAAGATTGGGACACCCCCTTTTTTCTTATAAGTTTAGAGTGATAAGGTTATAAATAACTGTATTAAAAGTTAAAAGGTTATCAATAACCTTTCTATTTAATATTGCTAAGGAATGCCTGTGTTCTGCAGTGCATTTTGTGCAGTCATTTTTCTGCAGTTCATTTTGATGAACATTACAGGGTAAGCAGTGGTGGTATTCTACCGGTTCGGCCCGGTTCTGCAGAGCTGGTTGCGCTGATGAGCGGTGGAGACTGCTGCTCTGCTTTTGGGCCCGCCTACCTGCCTGGGCTCTCATACTCACCTTTATCACCTGCTTTTGAAATGCAGGGAGAGTGCAGGCTTGCAGGAGGTGAGTAGAAACACCTCTGTGCCTGTGTAAAGTGTGCGTTTGGTACGCACACATGCAAAGGATGTGCATGCGCACAAAGTGCGCCCACCAAGCCATGCCCACTGAACCGGTGGTAAAACTTTTTGAATTCCACCACTGAGAGTACAGGTTCTTGGAACTACAACTAGTTCCTGACTTAGGACTACGATGGAGCCCAACATTCTCCGTTGCTAAGTGATACATTTGTTCAGTGCTGCTCCATCTGACCACCTTTCTTGCCACAAGTTGTTAAGAGAATAGTTGTGGTTGCCAAGTTACTCACACGGTTGTTGAGTGAATCTGGCTTCCCAACTGACTTTGCTTGTCAAGAAGGTTGGAAAAGGGGATCCGAAGACATTGCAATGGTCATAAATATGAATCCGTTGCTAAGCATCTGAATCGGCCACGGGGATGCTGCAATGGCTTGTAAGTGTGCAAAACGGCCCTTCGTTACTTTTTCCAGTGCTGTTGTAACTTTGAATAGTTACTGAACGAACTGTTGTATGTCGTGGACTACCTGTATGTACCTTTCTTGACATTCAGGAATTGCTCCTCTGGCCTTTTGGTGGTTGCACACCAGTGATGTGCTTCAGTCTTAATTTTGTGAGATTCTCTGCTTTCAGCTGCTTGCAGGGTTTTAAAAAAAACCCACAACCACTTAGCATTCCAGCTGCACTTAAAGTCCCACTGCTTTCGAGACAAATTTGCAGAATGGCTACCACGTTTTTCTTGAAGCCATTTCCCATTTCTCTGCTCAGACTCATTGCCCGGGTTTCACGATGAAAGGAAGCGAACGGCAACATAGGCTGCATAATTACAGTTTTAAAGCTCATCTGTTTCCAGAGCACAATAGGTTGTGACGTGTGCGTCAAATATTAAACAGAGACCACACTGTGACTTACAGAATCTCCCTGAAGGACAGCCTCAAAGTTGATGGCAGTGCTTATAAAAATGGCATTGGTAAACCAAACTCTTTTCTTATTACTGGGATTCTGCAATAGCCCTGTTTCAGTGGTGGGATTCAAATTTTTTTTACTACCAGTTCTATGGGCGTGGCTTGGTGGGTGTTGTGTGGCTTGGTGGGCGTGGCACAGGAAGGATACTGCAAAATCCCCATTCCCTCCCCACCCCACTAGCCTGCTTTCCAGCTCCGTTCTCCTGTGCAGGGGAACCAAAGAAGACCCAGCCAATCAGCTGGGACTCAATGGGAGGCGGAGAAGAGATGGAGGCGGGGCCAGTCAGAGACAGTATTTGCCGGTTCTCCCAACTACTCAAAATTTCCACTACTAGTTCTCCAGAACTGGTCAGAACCTGCTGAAGACCACCTCTACCCTCTTTTCAATTGAAAATATTTCTTGACCATGAAGGTTTTTGTTTTTTTTAATCAGCAAAGCAGGACTGAGGATAAAATACAATTATTTCCAATATGTGTTATTATTTCATTTTCCTTCCTAGCATTTTCCTCTGATTTTTCAGCTCAACTGAGTGTTAATCCATTGATTATGACAGGAATTGACCTACTGACTTTTCATCTAAGCCTAATATTGTAGGCTGAGAGTGAGGGACTGGCACAAAGCTACCCAGTTGGCTTTCATACCTTAAGGCAGGACTAGAACTCACCATCTTCTAGTTTCCAGCCTGGTGCCTTCACCACTAGACCAAACTGGCTTGTACGTTATTATTATTATTATCTTCATGCATTTATTTCATTCATAAGTCCTGGGCTCATAAAGACAACGAGCCTTGCAACTTTAAAAGATGCCTGAATATTTATTTCCCCAGCCAGTGGACAATTTGTGCCCGAAATTTAAATCAAGAACTTAAATCAATATTGAGAGGGTTAGCTGGCATAATCTGAGTTTTGGCAAGGAACAAATTCCCTGGTGATCAAATAATATCATGATCAAGAGCTTACAATTTTGGGACATCTGAATAGATCTCTGATAGCTTCCATGTTAGCTTCAAGGTGGTGGTTTTTGCTGAAACTGACAAGGTTTGGTTCAGATTCCATCTGGTCTATTGTTAATTAATTCTGGTTATTTTTACCCTGGGCAAGTGAAGGTCCAGCAGGAAGAGATGTAAGGAAATGGACTGGATCTGTAAACAGCTCAGATCAATCTCAGGACCCTTTTTAGATGAGAAGGGATGGGAAACTCCCCTTTTCTCGAAGTGCCCTCAGTTTTAAGTCACAATGCTTCATTTCTACTTTGCAGAACGCAGAAATATTGGGTCTATTTTTTTTTCCTACTAGTTTTCATTCAGTTAGGAGAAAGCAAAATTCTTTTCAAGATTTTTTTTTTTTTCAAAGGAGAAGAGCAGAAGGGGGAAATTTTCATGGCTGGAGTGTAATTTCTTGCACTTATTTAGTGTTGAAATGGTCAAGGAACTGGAAAATGATTACAGATGAACATCTCTTTGGAGTTCAGCCTT